GGGAGGTACCCAAAAAGTCGACTTTTTGGGTACCTGCTTTGGTGATGATGGGTTGGGTCATCGGGAGAAACCGATCGATTCAGCACAAGTCCGGGCGCCGAGTCGACTGTTGGGGTACCTGCTTTGGTGGTAATGGGTTGGGTCGCTGGGAGCAACCGATCGATTCAGCACAAGTCCGGGCGCCGACACTTGTGGCACTTGAATGTACCCGAGACCATGGGCAGCGCCCTGCGGCCCGTCACGGGGTTCATGCAAGAGCTGACGTCCGATGGTAAATCGGGAGGTACTCAAAAAGTCGACTTTTTGGGTACCTGCTTTGGTGGTGCTGGGTTGGGTCATTTATGGGGACGAGGGTTCAGCATTACGGGGTTCATGCAAGAGATGACGTCGAATGGTAAACCTAGGAGGTACCCACAAAGTCGACTTTTTGGGTACCTGCTTTGGTGGTGAAGGGTTGGGTCTAAATTCTTGGGCAATGATATCCTTTATGGGGAGGAGGGCTCCGCAGGACGGGGTTCATGCAAGAGATGACGTCCGATGGTCAATCTGGGACAAAAAACCCGCGGTCCACCCACGCACGGCTAGCCCAACAGCTCCCTTCCGTACATCCTTGGTACGCAAGTACTCCGGAAGCTTCGAACTGCATGTCCTGCTCTACCGCTCGCTGCAGCGCAACTCCGAGCTTGCCGGCGACCGCCTCCGTCGTTGCTGCCACCAACTGACGCTCCAACGAAGTCATAGCCTCCACCTCCGGTCGGAAACGAAATGGAGCCGCGTGTGCCAGCGTTGCCTCCACCAACTTTCGGGCTTCTTGTTTCGTCCACTCTGCCTTGGCGGATGCCGCGTCCAGGTGACTTTTTGCCACCTCTGGCAAACTCTGCCAAAACGACTCCCAAGCTGTTTTCACCACCTCCTGTAGCTCCTCGGCCCTTTCCAAGGGCAAGCCGACGATGAAGTCCACGGGCACCTGCAGCCACCCGTAACTTGCCCGGATCTCGGCCGCCTTCTGTACTGCCTCCGCCTGTTTCCCTTCGCGGACCTGCTCGTCCATTTTCTCTGTCCGCAAGAAGCTCGGAATTCCTTCCATCTGCGCGCGCACCATGTCCTCCAATAGGGCCACCACCAGCTCGCCCGGCACGGGGTCCTCTTCCATGCTACTTCGCCCTACAGAAACTTCGCTGGAAGCTACCGCCAAGCTGACGTCCGAGCCACGCGTGCTGCCATGTGTGTCCACCGCGTACACACACAACCTGTGTCGACATTATCTGCCTTTTTTGCCTCAGTCCTTTTTTTCGCCCACACAGGTGTTTCCTTGCCGCTGCGCGGTCGCTATCGCCGGACATCAACGAATCCCCCACAGACTCTCCCCAACAAAAAACAACCATTTACTGCGCCTAGCTGTCTACTCTTACACTGCGACCCATTCCCCAGAAGCAACACCCGCTGCGACGAGCGCGCTTCCAGCCTCCGGTGTGGCGCTCATGCCTCTGCCTCGCTCCGCCAACGCAACCTGAGCTGCAGCCGCTGACCCCGAGGGAAACTATCGCGGAAAGGATGGTACGTGGCCTCCGGAACAAGATGGTGCCTCGACGGAAGGACATAGCCAGGATTCTTCGCTTGGGGGAAGCACGCGACAACGCGCAGACAGCCAAAGGTGGCTAGTCAAATCGTGTCCTTCAAGCCAACAGTGGCTATGCACAGGAAATCAAACCTTATCCTTGAAGCCACTAGTGGCTATTCACAGGAAAGCCGCATGATCCAAAAGAATCTCAGGCTCGACTCCCGGGGTGGTCGCGGCGCGCCGTGCCCTCTTTCGCTGGTGGCGTTTACTGTCTACCCTAGGCAGCGCCCTACTCCGCCACGCCGCGTAGAACGCAACGCGCCCGAGCAGGGCACTAACCGACGCCCTTGCGCGCCTCGTCCCGCTCCAGCAGCCGTCGGCCTCCGCCAGCCTCCCACATCGCTGCGTGCCGGCGTCTTCCGCTCACGACAACTACACCGAACAGTTTTCCATGGACTGCACGGGGGGACATACATGGGCAACGCCCCCTTGCCTGACGCAACTGAGCGAACACCATGGGCAGCGCCCTTCTCCCACGAAGCTTTGTCACAAAACCTGCCCCTGATGGTCACCAAGAGCATTCCTAGGAAAAATTACGGGCATTGGCCGGGGACACTGGCACAAAATAGGTTGGCAAAAGGTTAACCATTTGCCCTGCGCCGCGGCTCCTGCCGCCCAGCTTCCTTTTTTGTCTGGCTCAACCCTGCTGCGGTGGACCATGCCCTATAGACACAGCCCTCGACACATCATCAATCATTCCAGCTCCTCTAGTGCGCTGCTCCGTGGGAAGCACCCGCCTGGCCCCGCAGCTCCTGGACGACAAAGCGCCCCCAACATTCCAACAGCAGCGAATGTGTCCGCCTCGGGGCAGGTCCGCCCCTAGCCCACTCCTGCAGCGGCCATGGGCAGCGCCCTAGACACTGCCACCTCCTCCACATTCCAGGCGACGATCCCGCTCCACTGCCAGCGTCCTGTCCAGCGCGTCCTCAGCCCCACTTGCCGCTGCTGGCGGCTCATATATCCCATCGCCCGAGCTGATGTATAAGGCCACTCTCGCGGCTGAATTGTAGCAGATCTGGACACAGTGCAGCATCGTCTCCTCAGCCGCATCCTCCCAATCCGTGCTGCCTCTTGCGATCGCCTTCTGCACCAGACTGTGTCTAGTCCAAATATCGGCCCCCGTGTCGCGAAACATTTTCGCTCTATGAGCCACCTCCTCCCGCCCCTGCAGCAACCTCAGCGCCGCCTGCCTCCTGCAAGTCACGCCGTGGTCATCAATCACGACCCACTGCTGTCCCGCACACATCTCAGCCTTGTTCTCCTTCACAGCCACCACTTCGGCCCTCAGGCAGGTCTGCCGCACAGTCCCCTTCCCTCCGGCCATGAAACTAATGGGCAGCGCCCTGTCGCTCCACCCGCTTCGGATCTCCCGCGAATCCACTCTTCCAGCTCCGGCGTACCCGATCCTCTGTTGCCGCGCCTGTGCGACAGACCCATGTCCCTCATGCTGCCCTTGCCTCTTCCTGCCTACCTTGCCACCAAGCTCCCAGAACACATAGATTGCCCCGCAGGAGCTCCTATTCCGCCCCGGCTGCAGCGCCGAGCCCTTCTGGCGAGACACGATGCTCCACGAAGCTTTGTCACAAAACATGCCCGTGGTGGTCACGAGCAACACCATCGTGGCCCTTGAGCTGTACCCTATACCATCGGCAGCGCCCTGCGCCACCGCATCCACACTCCTCCAGGTCTGCCCGCCGGGGAGCGCGAAGCTCTCACCACCTGCCGTCCAGGACCGGATCCACGGAGTCCTCATGGTCCAGTCCCTTCCCGCAAGCTGCCCCTGGACCATCAGCAACCATCGCAACCACACTTCTCCAGCCAAAAGTGCTGCCGGTAACTCCCAACTCACGCTCCCCCCGCGCTAGACCCGATCCTCGTACCCCGGCGCTCGCATCCCCTAGCTTCACTCCATACTCCACTACACATCCCTTGCGCGCCTCGTCCAGCTCCGGCAGCCGTCGGCTTCCGCCAGCCTGCCAACGCACTGCGCGCCGGCGTTTTCCGCCCACGACCACTACACCGAGCAGTTTTCCGTGGCCTGCGTAAGGGGACATACATGGGCAACGCCCTCGCTGGCTGAAGCGACCTAGCGAACACCATGGGCAGCGCCCTTCTCCCCCAGGAAACGCATAACACAGACACCGGCTGCCTCTCACCCGACCACTTGGGTGATCCTGCATTTTGCTCCAGGGGTGCTCCAGGAAACCCTACCCTCCCCACATCCAGGGCAACGTCCTTCCTCCCACCGTGGAACCACCCGCTTCCACACCCTTCCGTCCCCCCCCCTGCCTACCGCAGTGCAGACATTCCGCCACGCGCGCGTGCAACCCGCATGTACATGGCTACGGTCTCTTCCCGCACTGGCGCGAGAACCTCGCCACCACCTGCCCAAGCTTCTGTTTGCGCTGCTCCGTCCTAGAACCAACACGCCACATGCCGCGGACACGGGCGCCTGACAAGCATGCGAAAATCTTCCCCGGGCCTTTCACGTTACCACGGGCACTGGCTAGACCTCGCCCAGCGCAAAATCTACACAAAGCCTAGCGCATTCCTGGGAAAATTCCAGGGCATTGGCCGGGATTAAAAATAAGTTTATCAATTTTGGAGCAGATCCGGGAACCTACATGCAGCGGACATGATAAAAAGGAGGAATTCCTACCTGGGGGCGGTCTAAGGCTAAGGCTAAGTCTCACGCTACGGCTAGGCCACGGTTGCCGCTAACATCGCCTCACCCCACCTCTCTGCCTGGAAGCAAGGCTAGCGCTAAGGTCCTATCCCTTGGGGGTCGGCGGCTGCAGGCGGTAGCCTGGTAAATATAATGACTTGGTGGCCCAAAAGCATCATGCGTCAGTCTGATGGCATGCACATGTTTATAAACTTGTGCTTACCAAATCCCTTGAGAAACTGAGAAACGTGTGTTTGCCTGCACCTGCATGTTCGGCAAACCAAGACTCAAGGCCAAAGAGAGGCAACAAATGAAGCGAGAGTCAGGGCTTTTGCTAGCAGTGAGGATCATCGATAGATGAGAACCCCACCTTTGTAGTGAGAACAATACTTATATCAACACGCGCAACCCCAGCAAAATGAATCATTTTGTTGGCAGTCGTCAACTCCACCCACCTTTTGAAAGATGTTGAAAGAGATACTGAGACTGTAAAGCTGCCAACTTACAAAATGAGCTTGCAAACATGAGCTGGATAATGCAATTGCACATGCTGATGAGAACCAAGATCGAAGAATCCAATGAATCCAGCCTGAGATTCCTTTGCCAGGAAGCGACCAAAGCCTGCAAGCCGCACGGCAGCGGAGGCAGCCGCCTTCAAAACACAAATATTTAGTAACAAGTGCATCGCTACTAGTAGCTTCTTGTTACTAGTAGCAATGCATTTAGCTACTAGTAGCTTCTTGCTACTAGTAGCGATGCACCTTGCTACTAGTAGCTTCTCGTTACTAGTAGTAATGCCCTTGTTACTAGTAGTAATGCACTTGCTACTAGTAGCCAAATGCATGTCTTGCGTTGTGCTGATTCCATATTGAGTGCAGGTGTCAAAATGTACGCTGAAAGGTGGATGAACGTGACACCTTGTTTCTTGTATTCCAATGCAATATACAGGAAACATGTTTAGAATTTAGACTATGTTCCAGTCTGCTGGAAGGGAGACAAAAGTGCATGTGTCTTCCAGTCGCCAAATCCAACCTCTGTTGCATCTGCCAACACAGAGCCCATCTGCTGTGCTGCAGAAAATGCAAAAGCTGCAAAGCCCTGGGAGGGGCTCATCTTGGCCGTTTTGATCAACCAAACACAATGCACGAACTTGACACTTGCTTTGTTGTGTTCTTCAGACTGGTGGACCTGACCACCTCAAAGCTGCGGCATGCTGCGGCAACAGTGTGCTGTTTTGAAGTACAAGGTTGCAAGGGTTGATCGCACCCTAAAATTTGCGGAGCCAAATGAACAGAGCGAGGTCCTAGCTCCCCTCGGCCCTCGAGCGGGGGGGGAGTTTCCTTGAAGAAGCGTGAGCTTTCCTGCGCCCCAGCTACTAGTAGCTTCCTCGGTCTACTCAGCCTCCGCATTTACTTATATACTAATACTTTCTATTTAACGACAAACACTTGTTATGATTCCCAAAAAATCTAGGAACCAAAATGAATACCGCGAGCTATCCTGCGTCCAGTTACTAGAAGCGAACAAGTCGCCCGTACTTACTTGTTTTCTGTTCTTTTCTTGAGTTTCACTGCTTTTTTTCAACTGCTGGAGTATGATCCACATCTGGTTTCACTCAAACTTGCCCAGGTGAAGTAGTTCTCGAAGAAGCACAGGAGAGATTGAAGTTTGATGCTTGAGGGAGAAGTGGAAGGATAGGGAGAATGCAATTGAGGAAGTTGAATTGAGGAAGTTCGGGCTTGGAACAAAGATTAACATTGAACTAAAGTAAAAACATGTTGGTTCATTCATTTATTTCTGTCAACATATTACTATTATTGCTGTGTGACGTTTGCTTGGCTCCACATCGCTCCGCGTTCCACGCCTCTGTGGCACTCAAAGCATTCCGGGTCATCCGAGCCTCAAAGCCGTCGAGGCCCAAGGGGCAACGCAAATCGCAGTGTCAGTCTCGAACAGCCAGTCCGGCAGTCACCTTTTTTTGGGGGGGAGGGGTAGGCCGTGGTAAGCTCAAGAGGTTAGTTAGTAGTAAGGGTAGCTACTAAGCTTAAGCCGCAGCTACTACCTAGGACAAAAGAAAGGCTCAGGTTTCAAGGATACTCCCCCCCGCTGGGTGAGCCTTATTGATTGGGTGCCCAGTTTTTGGTGCCTAATGTGTTAAAAGCAACGCAACAAAGCGCAATGTGTCAAGCGCGGCGGCCGCAGGTAGTCTGCCAGCGAACATATTTTGACAGGCGAGCAGTGAGCAGTGTTTCTTTTAACTTATAGACCCCCAACAAAAGCACAACATCAAAGCTAAGGTACTAAGGGCTGTGAGCGACATGGAACGTAGTTACTGCCGTAGTTCTCCCCAAGGTGCAGCAAACAATTCCATGAAATTATGCATGAATTGTACAGTATGCTGCGTGGTTAGGCGGCTACAGGTAGGAATGAGGTATCACCCCCCTTTATCTATGGGGGGGGTCACCCCCCCTAAACCACAGAAACGGTTCCACCATGTTTTGCGTTTTGGTCAGAAACCACAGAAATGGCGCACACCGATTGCATCAGCAGTCTTTTTTCGCATCGCTCGGTTTCGTTCACATGGATCGCCCTTCTATCTTCCTCTCTATCTTGTCTTTCTTCCTTTCTATCTTGTCTTCTTTGCGTCATTTCTTTTATTTATATATATATTTGTGCATATATTGATATTTTTCATATTTTTTCCTTCCGTCCTTTCTTTCTTGCCTTCTTCAGTTGTCCCGTGGCACCCTGCAGCGCCGCTCGGCGCCCGCTCGGCGCCCTAAGCTTCCTTCCTTTCCATTCTTCCGTCCTTTCTTCCTTGCCTTCTCTTTCGCTGTCCCGTGGCACACTGCAGCGCCGCTCGACGCCGGCTCGGCGCTCTGAGCGCCGCTCCGCGCCCGCTCGGTTCCCGCTCGGTGCCCTAAGCTTCCTGTCTTTCCATCATTCCATCCTTTCTTTCTGGCCTTCTCTTTGGTTGTCCCGCAGCACTCTGCAGCGCCGCTCGGCGCCCGCTCGGCGCCCTAAGCTTCCTTCCTTTCCATTCTTCCGTCCTTTCTTCCTTGCCTTCTCTTTCGCTGTCCCGTGGCACGCTGCAGCGCCTCTCGGCGCCCGCTCGACGCCCTAAGCCATTCTTCCGTCCTTCTTCCTGGTCTTCTCTTTCGCTGTCCCGTGGCACACTGCAGCGCCGCTTGACGCCCGCTCGGCGCTCTGAGCGTGGATAGGGGTCCAGGTATCTGGTATTTCGAAGTGCAAAACAAGCGAGCGTTGGGTTGTATATCTTGTTACATCGAGCGTTAAATCAAAGAAACAGACCTTGATTTACATTGCGTGGACGCGTTGCCTAATACACTGCATGGACGCGTTGCTTACGCCCGCGGGGCGTAAGCGATGCGGACCCTCAGGGAGCTCCGAGCAGTGGGACCGCGGTGCCGTCCAAAAGGTCGCGTTGCTTACGCCCGCGGGGCGTAAGCGATGCTCCTTGCTTTTTGATTTTTGGCTACATTCAAAGCAAGACCATCATATTCAATCATGCCAGCATGGTCAAGTGAATTCAGGCGGTTCACACGATCTTGGCACTTTTTTAATTATCTTCACACGATCTTGGCGGTTCTTTCCCTGTCTTAATTACTGCCCAAGCGGAAAGCCATCAAAAGTCTTGAATCTGGTGGGCACCCTGGCATCTCCATGCTCAGACTTGTATTCAGTGAGCTTGCTGAAGCCTCTTTCCCATTCAACCGCGTCGCTTGTCAAAAATTCTCGGGGCCACGCGGAGATAAAACTGGAAACATGTTGGCTGTGCAAATGGAATATTAAAATGGAATTCCTAAAGGTACCCCCCCCTCGATCCTCCATTTTCGAGGAGGGGGGATCGCTCTGTTCCCGCTCGGCGCCCTAAGCTTCCTGTCTTTCCATTGTTCCGACCTTTCTTTATGGCCTTCTCTTTGGTTGTCCCGCGGCGCCCTGCAGCGCCGCTCGACGCCCGCTGGCGCTCCGCGCCCGCTCGGCGCCGCTCGGTTCCCGCTCGGCGCCTTAAGCTTGCTTCCTTTCCTTTCTTAATCCGCGCCTTTCTTATTTCATGTTTTGATTCATTCTCAGCAAGGCGCACTGTTGCTGTCTCTTCCCGATCAATTGGTTCAAGGACCAGGGGGTCCTGCTGCAGACTTCGAGGGAGACTGGAGCAGTACTGACGGCAGAACAACAAGAGCTGTGGGTATCCAGATTGCTTAATGAGGCTTGCGCTGCTTCCAAATGATCATTTTGCTTAGTGGGGAATCTGCGATTTTCACCAGAACAGCGCATCAAAGTCCTTTCCGGAACATCTTGAAACATAAGCCGTATTGATTGGTGCTTGCGACGAACAGACATTTTTCAAAGCTTATTGAGCATCCCCGTGCTCTTTAGGGGTGGGTTTGGAAGTTTCATGCATGAGCACCATGCCACCGTCTCACCCCATGCCCGATTGAGATGCACATCTTGGAGAAGTTGCAGAAATTCTCCTTGGAGGAGATTGATGTCACCACTTTGCGGCAGAACGTTGCCGGACTGCTGCGCCACTTTGAGCCCAAGTGGCGTGCCCGTATCCGTGATGCTGCCATCCAGCTCTCCCAAGCATTCCATGCCAAGTTCTCTTGGAGCGATGATGAGAAGGACAGCAGCCTTCATCGCTGGAGATATAGACTCAGCCATGCGGCATGCACCCAACAGCTGTGGGTCTTGAACTTGGCCATGCGTGAAGTCTTTGCAGAAGGCGCGAAAGCAAGCCGCTGAAGCGAAGAGATTGCAGCAAGTAGAACAGGAAGTGAAGATGACGCAGGACGCTTGCAAGAAGGCTTGGGGCGCTGTGGTTTGCTCCGAGAAGGAGGCCGAGGAAAGGAGGAAAGGAGCCAGCACTTTGCCGCGATGCAGATGAGCCTTTGGAGGTGAGTGGTGGGGCATTTCTCGTGCACGTTGAGGAATGACCATTATTTAAAGCTTTAATCAGAGCTGTGGTTGAGACCGGCGCGTCCATGCCAGCGTCTTATTCTCATGATTTCTCATGCATGCTGCACCGGTCAGGAAGATGGCGCAAGAGAGTTTCGAAAAGCCCCATGATGATTGGGAAGGTGCAATCGAGAAGGCTCGAGAGCTGGTCGCTGAGAAGTGCTTGAGAGCCGTGAGGCCGCCCACAAGGCGAAGGTGGAGGTCAGTACACCCAAATGCTACACGGCATTGCCCCGAGATGTGATGCGAAAGCTGGATGGCGGCCGTCGTGGGGTGACAAACTGACATTTTTTTCTCTCTTTGTGATCATTGTGTGAGGATCTGATGTAGTGATGTAGGATATGCGCGACCACCACATGGCTCATGTAGCTTCACCAACAGGTAGCATCTTGATCTGCCCCCTCTTCATCCTCACATAGGGGGCCCAACTGAAGCGGTAGTGTTAAAAGCCTGTTTTCCCGGTCAATTCCACCACTTAAGGGGGTATGGGGGGGTGGAACCAAACTGAAATTCCAGGGGGTGACCCCCCCCCCTTATTCCACCACTTAAGGGGGGGTGATAATGATGGTATCCACCAGGACCTCTAGTTGTTACCTGTTTTATGCAATGGAGCTTTGTTCTTGTGATTTCAACCTGCCTCGCTCCCTCGATTTGTACTTCATGAATGAGCTTCTCAGCAGGGCTGCACGCACAGGACTTCTGGCCACAGACTGCAAGTGCAAGCGCCGGCATCCGAGGACCTCTGGCAATTAAGAGGTGTTTCGTTAGAACTTGTCCAAGGTCGGCAAAGCCCGAAACCCAGAAAGCGTTGCAGCCTTTGCTCATCTCATTTTCCCCCTGCAATACGACTGTTCGCCGATCTGGTTGGTGAACGCATCTTTTTTTGACTTGCACGTTTAACAAGGACTCAGACCATAAGCAACCAGGGAACGCATCAGTCCCAAAACCTCGCACCTTCACTTTCCAATTTTCTCCGGTCTCCTGTTCGACCCGGTATGGCGTGACCCAGTGTTTGACTTGACGCTTCATTTCCTCTTCGGTTTGAGCTCTGAGGCGAACATCGGGAACGGAGCAATGTCGCATGCAAAAAGAAAACATTGGATGGGCAAATCAATGAGCAGTTGCATTGTGCAACACCATCAAAGAAAGAAAACACGCCTTGAGAAACACAGCCGAGGCTATGTTGTGACAACTCCGAACTCGCCACAAAGCAGTTCAATGGGATCAGCCAATGGATGAGCTAAATTTGCTATGGACAGCGCAGCCTCTCTGGAACAGAAAGAATTTTACTGCTTGGACATGTAGCAGTCAGTGTTCCGCTCGGATCCGTTTGGTATAGGAATGTCCGCCACCGTGCACAAATACTGGTGGATATTTCTTTGCAACCAATTTGCTTGTCAATGACGCTTTCCTCTTTTTCTTTCTTCCTGAGAGCTTTCCCAGGAGCTCGTTAACAGGCAAGGGAAACATTCCTGTCGGGTCAAAATCACACGCAAAATCAAAAACGCGCATACTGGTTTTCCAGATTCTAGAGGTACTATTGCTCAAATGCTGTCTCCCTTTGATTGGTGCCGTCTGTTCATTGTCTGCCCGAAACTGTTGTAAAGGAAGATGTCGATGTCGATGTGACGCTGTGGTTGTCTGGTGCAATTTCGACCTACATGTTCACAAGGAGTCGTTTTTGGACGTCACAGGGCGCTTGGCAGGAAAGGCACAATCACACGGGCAGAAAGCCAGTGTTTGATTCTTGTAAAACCATCCAAACAACGGTTAACCCTAGGATTCTGTGGTCGGAGCTTGACCGACAACTTTTTCAACAACAGAGTTTGTGGATGAAACTAAAAGGTTCGTCCAAATTGACAAATTGAGAGTAAAACAATCACAGTCCCAAATGGTGGGACCAATATATACCTAGCGACCCTAACCATCATCGACAGTAAGGAGAAGTATGGTACAACTTAAAAGTTCAATAAAAAAACAGGCTAGGGAAAGTGGAGGCACTTGACAAGCACCGGCAGGTTCATGCAAAAACCATGTGGGCCAGCCAGTGAAGATTACCACGCCCAAATCATGTCTTGCCAAAAAATTGCCCTTGATAAGAAGCGCGGCCGCATCGTAGTAGACCCGCTCCTCTGAATCCTGAAATTGAGACCATCAGCTCTTGAGTTTGTTGTTGCATCTTGTTGCAACACTCCAATCGCTGCACTCTTTTGTCTACGTTTAAATGTTTAATGAAACACATCCTTGCACTGCTCCATGTTTGCCCCAACAAACTGATCTAGATCATCTCCAAGCGGCCGTCAAAATGCGGTATGCCCTCTGGATTAGCATCCATTCCTTAAATCTTGCTGCCCCAATCAGGCCCCACCGAAAAGAATTCAGCCAAGGCCAGAACCATGGATTCTCGCCTCGCACACATGGAACCCCGACATACCCCGATACCCAAAGCGAATGCCAAACAATTTCTCCGAACACTGTTGGCAATGCTGCCAGCTGATATTTTGTTGTCGTGTTGCAACATTATTCAAATATTTAGGATACACTATTTTCCTCTGTTGCCATGCACTTCGTTGCAGTCTTGCAACTAAAAGAAGCGCTTAGGCATATATTAGAATGAAATATATAACATACATGTATATAAAATATGGTTATAATATGAATACGGTGTGTGATGTCTTGCGCAGTCTCGCCCATGGCGACTTTTCTATCGCTTGGAAAAACGGCACTAGAAGGCTGTGTACCTCGGCCGGTGCCTCCAATAAAGAAACGATATAATGGGAGCAAGGACGCTACTAACTAGGGGCTCCTGGCATATGGGCTCCTGGCATCGCTACTAGGAGCAAGGACGCTACTAACTAGGGGCTCCTGGCATCACTACTAGGAGCAAGGACGCCACTAGGGGCTCCTGGCACCTCTACTAGGAGCAAGGACGCTACTAGGGGCTCTTAGCATCGCTACTAGGAGCAAGGACACTACTGGGGGCTCGTGGCATCGCTACTAGGAGCAAGGACGCTACTAGGGGCTCCTGGCATCGCTACTACGAGCAGGACGCTACCAGGGGCTCCTGGCATCGCTACTAGGAGCAAGGACGCTACTAGGGGCTCCTGGCATCGCTACTAGGAGCAAGGACACTACTAGGGGCTCCTGGCATCGCTACTAGGAGCAAGGACGCTACTAACTAGGGGCTCCTGGCATCGCTACTAGGAGCAAGGACGCCACTAGGGGCTCCTGGCACCTACTAGGAGCAAGCACACTACTAGGGGCTCTTGGCATCGCTACTAGGAGCAAGGACGCTACTAGTAGTACTAGGAGCTCCTGGCGTCGCTACTAGGAGCAAGGACGCTAGTAGGGGTTCTTGGCACCGCTACTAGGAACAAGGACGCTACCAGGGGCCCTTGGCATCGCTACTAGCGTCCTTGCCCTGGCATCTCTACTTAGAACAAGGACGCTAGTAGGGGCTCCTGGCATCGCTACTAGGAGCAAGGACGCTACTAGGGGCTCCTGGCATCGCTACCAGGAGCAAGGACGCTACTAGTAACAACATCCTACCAATCACATCGTGGTGACACTGGTCGAGTGGGTACATCGTGGTGACACTGGTCGAGTGGGTCAATTTGTGCGCCTTGAAGTGCGCAACGTGAACTACTAATGTTAGATTCATATTAATAAGGTGGTCAACCTTTTATAGTTGTTTAACAGAGGTTTTTCCAAAAACCTGGCGCGGTGCTCTCTGGAGCGTCCCTGTTTGGTGCTCTATTTGAGAGTCCATGTAAAAATAAACGTCAGTGAAGACCAGGAAAAGGATGCCCGAAAGGTTGTTTTTGGTTGTTTTCCAATGTGTTTCGGGCATCGTGCATCAATGCGAAGCCCTATAAAGAGCAGGGCTGGGAGAAAAAAAGAGAAGAGCACTCATTCTTGAATGGTTGTAGTTTTCGTGGAGCTGGTATCACTGCGACGTAGATGAAGATCGGAGCGCAGCATGAAGTGTTGAATGTTTTTAGTATTCTTGATTTGCTTGGTGCGGCGCCTTCGGGAGCGTCCCTTGTTGGTGTTCTATTTGAGAACCCATGCAAAAACAAACGTCAGTCAGTGAACACCAGGAGAATGATGCCCGAAATGGTTCCTGTGGTTGTGTTGAAATGTGTTTCGGGTATCGTGCATCAATGCGAAGCCCTATAGAGAGCAGGGCTGGGAGGAAGAATAGCAGAGCACCTATAGTTGAAAGCTTGTAGTTTCGTGGAGCTGGTATCACTGCGACTGAGATCAAGATCGGAGCGCAGCATGAAGTGTTGAACACTTGCAGCTTTCTTGCTTCTCCTCTTGCGGCGCTCTTATCCCCTCCAGTGGCCTGACTGGCTTGCCGGACACGTGTGTTGGTGCTTGATGTGCTTGGTTGGGGCGCTGAAGGGCGCTGAAGATTGTCAAGGGGAGACAAATGCACAACGCCCAGAAGTTCAGGTCAGCAACACCAGCGCATCCGAGACTGGATGCAGTGGCAGGATCCTCCCGCGACAGTTCAGAAGCCCTGTAGATCCGGCCTCGCCTGCTAAGTATGGAGGTTTCCTTGGCTGTAGTGGGAGTTTCCTGCTGCTGACCACGCTGGAAATCCTTCAATCTGGATACAGGACACGTGCAATTTTCAGCGGTCTTGCGGGAAGTAATGTGTGGGAGAAGTTTTCTCGGAGAAGACGGCTTGAATGATGCTGGTGGTGCTGGGCGAATTAAACTAATATGCATTATAATATGTTATAAGTAGTAGGGTTTGGCTTACTTGATGTGCTTTCTAATGTAGTCCCTTGATTTATAAGCCCCCCCCCTCAACAACCAAGGCCTCCAAAATAATGTATATGAAAATCAATCAGTTGATAATTAAATAAGGAATCCTTAGCTAGCTACCTCTGGAGCCACTCTCGCAATATTAAATTAAAAGGAAATAAGAATTCCTAACTTTGAAGACCTCTGGCAATATTAAATTAAAAGGAAATAAGAATTCCTAAGTTTGAAGACCTCTGGCAATATTAAACTAAAAGGACATCTCAAATTTCTTAATAGAAATCTCCATCCAAAAGCCTCCAAAAGCATCAAATCTCAATGGAAATCTCAACTTTTCTAATAGAAATCTCCATCCAAAAGCCTCCAAAAGCATCAAATCTCAATCCATCCAAAAGCCTCCAAAAGCATCAAATCTCGATGAAAATCTCCAAATTTTCAATAGAAATCTCCATCCAAAAGCCTCCAAAAGCATCAAATCTCGATGAAAATCTCCAAATTTTTTAATAGAAATCTTCATCCAAAAGCCTCCAAAAGCATCAAATCTCAATGGAAATCTCAAATTTTTGAATAGAAATCTCCATCCAAAAGCCTCCAAAAGAATCAAATCTCAATGGAAATCTCCAAATGTTTAATAGAAATCTCAATCCAAAAGCCTGTAAGATACGCAAATCCCAGCAAATTCAAAAGGGAAAAAGTAAACTATAACAATAAAAAATCCACTACAACTACCCCTCCAAAAAAAAAGACATTATTCTAGGGGCCTTTATAAATCAGTGCAGGGATCCCCTTTACAATTACCCCTAAGGGGTCAAGGCCCCATTTTGTAGGTATAAACCTGGGGGGCATACCCCCCCCTACAAAATGAGTAGGGGTGTCAAAAAGTAGGCTGTACAAACTGACCGGTCTAAGCACCAATGCCCCGGGTAGCTGCCCATCTCAAGATTAGACATTATGCAGGGGTCATGCCCCGAAGTTTTATATGGAATTCACTGTTCAAAGCGGATCTCTGGCCTCAAGATGTCAAAAACAAAAGACCCATTTTGTAAGGACATAGCTGCTGGATTGCTGCTGGGTCTTTTTTAGCGTTCTGCCAGCCGATCCATGTCCGTTCAAATCCCCTATCTGTAGGACAAAGTATCTGCATCGCCGTTGTTGTCTATTGCATTTCATGGGTCCAAGCTGCTGGTGGATAAATTAGTGAACTTAGGGCAACGTGGATGCTTGTAATGGGCACCACATAGAAAACATCTGGGTTAT